CGCGAGGGGTGTGCATGTTCTGAATATATTGGGGGATAGTCGGCGAGCCCAATGCCTCGGAGAACTTCCTAGAAAGCTCCTCGGCCACATAGATCGACACTGGAGCTTTGCGCGCGCTGCTGGGCAACTGAGTGTGGGCTGGAGGTGGGCTGGCTTGAAAGGCTGAGCGAGAAGGGGGGCATCCCATGCTGGACTCGGGGCTGTCCCACATCCGGGTTCCTTCCTCTTCCTCGGGGACATCTTCCAAATCATAGTGGCTGCTCATGGACGAGGTCCTGGCGCGGTCATCGGGTTCGGGACTGAAAAACCGGGTTGGCTGCGCTGTTTGGAGATCTGGGTACGTCATCGTCGTGGACAAGCCCAGGATCTCGTCAATGGCACGGGGTGCCGGCTCATCAGTCCCATGTGAGGGAGGTTCTGGCACAGCAGAAGGTGGGGGAGTGGTAGGGCTGGTTCGGGGATATCTGGAGACTGGCCGCGAGAAGTTCTCGTTGACGCGGGATTCTCTGCGTGCGTGGTTTGCATTGTACAGTCGTGTTTTTGGAGAGACCGGTGGGCTTATGCTCGGCACATCCACCGTGGTGGCAGTGCCAAACGAGCGCAGGTCATCACTAGAGAAATTACGGAAATGAATGTCCTCGGCGCGGATACCTTTCAGATCGGGCTGGGGCCGTTGAGATGCTCGGATGGCCGAGAACTCGGTGACCAGATCATTCTCGCGGGTCTGGTCCAAAGACTGGAACTGCGAGGGATTGGTATGAGTCAAGTGGTGGAAATCAAAAGGATCAGAAATAATGCTTTTCAAGCGTTCGCCTATATCGATTGTCGAGGGTCAATTGGGTCCACAATTTCCGCTGTCCGCTGCTTGGCGCACTTACTGTGGTCCGTATTACGGGCACGACGGCCAAAAAGCTCTCTCTCTGGCCGGGCCTTCTCACGATCGGCCTCATCTTCCTCGTCCAGCGTGGCGACGATGTTGATCTTGCTCCCCTGCCGGCGCAGGATGCGGCTTCCCCGCGCCAAAAGGGACCGGGACGGCCTATCCTTCTCGGAGCGGAATCCCAATGACGACCCGGCCCGGTCATCAGAGACAATGGAACTATCCGTGGAGGTCATCGAAGAGCCTGGTGAGCGGCGTGAAGAAGTTGAGGTGGTGGTATTGCTTCTTGAACGGCCGCTAAAAACGGACAAACGCCTGGGGCTGTTGGCGTGGGCAGTGGACCTGGAGCGGATATGTGCGGCATATTCAGGTTGCTCGTTGGAAGAGTTCGTAGACGGACGGTCACTGCCGTCGTCGTTGTCCCAGGCTTTACTCATTGGAGGGGGTGGATAGGTCGACATGGTGGAAAGTGAAGGAGAGAAACTACACCATGATAAGATGAAATCTGGAGATCTCCGCCGCCTACAATATAAAGGAGCGAAAGTGGAAAGGGAGGGTTCTCGAGTGGAACAGAACGAGGTCCTGCCGATGATAATAAATTAATAGAATACTTGATGACGGGGGCAATACAAGACACGGAGCGGTGGTGGAGCCGCGTTCAGGGGCGTATTTATTGTAATTTTTATTTCTTTTTTTTTTTTCCATTATTAGTATATGATGCTATAGTCCTCCTATATTGGTGTTATTCCGATCGGGTTGGTTAGTTTCTTTGTTTAGATTGGAGCGGTCACACCATGCACCCAGCCGGCTTCATTATTGATCATATTCCACGCCGACAATCCAAAAAATGAGGAAACAAAAGAAAGCAAACCCCAACATACACGGGATATAGTGAGGTGCCTCGAACACCCCATGTAAAGGACGGGAATTCCCAGCGTCGCGGAGCCGATACCCAACTGCCTTAGTGGCATATGCGTCGAGCCAGGGGGTTGGTCCTGAACGTGCTGGAGACCCGCGTGTGGGGGAGCCAGAAAGACGCTAGGCCGCATGTAGTAAAGTATCAGCGTTCCGATACGCCCCGTCTGGCGATTTAATATGTTTAATCTGTATTTTTGGTATTTTTGCGGTACCTCAGGTTCCAAGGTTCCAAGGTTCCAAGGTTCCCAGGAAGGTTTACCGTTAGCTTTGGACCCATGGACACGGGAAAGAGGGGGACACACGATATACGCGATCGGGCTATAGATTGAGTACTACTGTAGTACTACAGGTACATGGAGATGAGCCTAGATATGTACTTCGTATAGGCAAGGCTGCCATTGGGCTAGATATTCAATTGAATATCCAATTGGCGATATTGAAACAGCTCTATACTTGATTCTTTATTTACATTCGAGTGGGGAGACAAGCCCTTATCACGATTGGGGCGCACACTGGAACCTTGGACGTCTGTTTTTCTCCCTTAAAACATTGTATAAGTATCATAACTACATATGGTGGTTTGACCTTTTCTTCCTACATAGCTACATGAGTATAATCCCTGCCTTGCGTGAGGTCTGAGACCAGTCAGGAACGCCTCTTTCCTTCCCCGCGTCGTATAGCGGAGCCTCGGTTCAACGGTTTTATCACAGAAGGACCCAGCCCTAATGTGATTATAGTGTGCACTGAAAACATAGGGCTCGGGAAACACCAGTCCTAGATCTCAATCTACTTTCGGCATCCGGCAGTGGGGTCCAGAAGCACAAAAGTCCATAATAACATTGTATTACAGGATAATATCGGTTTAATTAGCCTAGGCATACATGTGCTAAAGCCTACACCGGCATTCCTCCAGTTCCCCAGTTCAACCTAAACATCCCTGTTGGTACAAGATACACAGGCAAGGATCTCCATGCAAGTTTGTTCCTGTGATCACTTCGCAGGCAGCCTCGGAGAGTGCCGGTCTCCTATCTCAGGCACATCCAAGCAGACTTTTTTTTTTAATTAAAAAAGGAAAGTGAAACGTATCAGACTACAAACTCACACTGTGTCGGGGATGCGAGACGAAGCTGAAGAATGTGAGTATCCGGCAGTCACCGCACCCTTACGTTATATCTGTCGGAGAGTTGCATTGTCTCAGGGCGGGGTATATCCATTGTGCCTGGTATGTGCATATTATCACCCTGGTAGTACGTACTGCTCCATACGGACGAAGTACATCGAATCGAATCGACCGAGTATAATAAGCAATTCTCGCTTGGTATTGTCGCACATGATTACTTTTTCTGCCGTTGTGGTGACTCGTCACACACATATTCTAATATTCACGTCGTCTGTAGTCCACGCTTCCTATCTAGTAAGTGGACCTTAGTCTGCAGCTAGCATGATTCGAAACAAGGGAGACGACCGAGGGGAAAACCAAAAACAGTTTCATTCTATTTCAGAGTACGGAGTTGAATATACCGCTAGTTGTAGTGTGTATCGAAAGTGTAAAGTGGACTCCTGATGATCTTATAGTCTAGAACGTGGACGGAGTACTCTGTAATGAGAACTGTCCTCCATTATGCATACATATATGTATTATTGTACCTGCGTAGTGCGGCACTTGATATTCTTAATTACTTACATAGCTGTCTGCTCCGTCCACGGGTCCACTACTGCGTACTAGTAGTCTAGGATCCCTTTTCGAGAGGTCTAACAAGCACGTTCCCCCGGCGGTTCGCGTTTCGTGTCCATGATCGTCATCACGCACCGTACTCCGTACTCCGTACCTTTTTATATCTAGGCCTAAACCGTCTTGTTCTTCCTCAGATTTGTGTCAGAAAATACGCCCCGAGATTGGAGTGTCGTCGACAGTCAGATCTATTCTTTAAGTTTCTTGTCACAATTTTGAAACAAAGAGATCAAACAGACGCGTTTCTGGAATATACTGATAATATACTCCGTACTGATAATTAATTAAAGACGATAAATAGTGAGTGTAGCTAGCCCTAGAATATAATGACAATGACATAGGTGTAGAGTCAAGGTTTTGGGACACGTTCTGGAAAAGGAGGGAAAAGGAGGGAACCCGAAAATTATTATGTACCCATCTTCATTCGCATGGTTCGCCCTATCACGAACACCTTCCTATTCATGCCTCCCGATGATCGACAGCTCCAATTCCCGTGAAAGATGGAAGCTGGTCCCCGACTTCGGGAGTCATGTACGTACTCCATACATTTAAAAGCCAATTGCAACTGTGTTTTTCCGTTTTCCCGCTAGACGGCCCTAAATTCTAATGGTAGTTTAGTATCGGGTAACGCGCTATCAACGTAGACTGGGCATCATCCCACGGTCGCCTATCTCGGTCAAGCATGTACATATGTATGCGCCCGAGCTACCGTGTGGAGAATGGATCAATCTAATATTCCAACGGTGTAACTACAGGGGTGATTGATATCTACCATAATGGAGGCTGAATATCTCAAACTATATTCCATTCCATGGGAGGGAGATAGGCGGGTTGATTGTCCTTATTAGATGCTACCATGTGCGACGATCCCGGGGTTTCGATCCTGATGTAACCTAGCGTTGGCCGTTGAACTAAGTACATGATAACTAACTAGCTAGGGCATGACAGGGATCAGCGGTGTTGACATTACGGACAGGGGACTCCTTTCATGTTGCTAGGCATTTTGTGATACATGTGACTCCCAAGGTTGGGCTCTTCGGATGACCAAATATGAGACAAGGAAATAGAGACTATTGGAAATAGTCGATTATCGTTCTTTGTGCACTCCGTAGAGTCCGTACTCTATGCATCATAAGTTGTATACAAAGCATTGGAAATATAGGAGTATTGAAATATTGAAGCCGGCACTAAGCTCATTACGATAAGTGATATCAAGTCAAATCTATAACGCCAGTTCTTTGTCTTTCGAGTCCAGATTTTATGAGTCCACTCAATTCTAAGTCCCATGTTAGCTTTGCTCTTATAGACAAAGGGTGAAATGCCCACAGTTCGATCATGAGATCTAGTTGACAGTTCATTCGAGGTTCGGTCATCTCCCTCTTTGTTACCAGGTCCTCGGAGCTTGCCAATTCCGACGGTCCTGGTTGGAAGTGATGGCCAGCTTTAAACAAGTCGTGGTCACTCCGTACTTCACTTAGCAACTCCAGTGGTCTTGTCACCACCGACGTTAGCAGCAATGCCGAGCTCGCTGATAACATCCGCCTCGGAGCGCTTCGCAACTCCGGTGGTCTCTGCGCCACCGACATTGACAGCAGCACCCAGCTTGCCGATCAGATCAGAGCCAGAGTCATCGTCGTCACTGCCACCGTCGTGACCACTGCCGCCATCGCCACGCTTAGCGACACCAGCAGTCTTATCACCGCCGATGTTAACGGCAACGCCAGCATCACCGATCACATCGTTCTGGCTGGGGACGGGGACTGCGAGTGCTGTGATTGCCAACAGGACGGGAGCGATGAGAATGTAACGCATTTTGATATAGGTTCAGACTGGAATGGTCGTTAGAGCTGCTTGAGCTGGGCTCTGGTAGGTTTGTACTCACTTATGGTAGAGAAGGTACGTCTGAACTGGACTATTCTTAACTGGACTTGGAGTGAATAGAGGATAAGAAAGTAAACTGGCTAGCAACATCTCTATGGAGATGACCAGGTCATTTAAGTATGTAGTTCTATCGTACATGATATCTTGATAGATGTTTGCGGCATGATAGCTGATGTGCTTCAGGATTAAGCACCAGCTTGGACTGTATTCTACTTGGACGAGGTGGATGTAGACTTGATCTATGACATAGGCGTAGTTGCGATGGGTGGATGCCCAATGAGGGTTACGGATTGGCAGTGGGAAGACTGGAGACGGTAAAGGCCCTAGTCCTAGTAACTGGCCTCGTGTTCAACATAGAGATATGCGGTGATCGTGGCAAAGGCCCCAGCAATGATGGAGAGAAATGATCCGTCGATTGTAGTTTGACGATCCTTGACTTATTTGGGTGGTGACCCCCCAAACGGTGCCTGCGGTTGATATCATCGGTGAACTCGATGCTACGCCGCACCTGGGTTTCTCTAAATTTCAGGTTCTGTTCTTTTGTTTTCGTTTTTTTTGCAAAATGAGTCATTTTGGTAGAATCAGGCTACAGGCTATTTTATAATAAACTACATTTGAATATCGTAATAACCTAATAGAGCCCAAGACGTCCAGCCCTAACGTGTCCCGTCAAGCTTAACGAAAATAAAGTTATCCTTCCATAAGAGCAGGAACCTTGGCATATCGAAAACGTTGGAATTCTTCTAGAATCTTCGAAGTATTGTTTTTCCCCTCGATTGCCTGACTCTACTTAGAATATGCCTCGGTCCCACTAACTAGGTGGTACCCATTTTTCCATGTCGATATAGTGGCTTTCAATGGTGTCTTAGGATCTCCCCTACGTACTCCGTACCTTTCTAGGATCTTGAACCTTGAACCTCGATCCGGGTACTCCGTACGGAGTAAATAATTACGTGTGCATCCTGAGACTGTCTGAAAAGTCCAAATCCAAAATCCAAAATCCGATCTCCGATACGTACTTTGTCCTACGCCACCGATCAGACTAAATGTCCAAAAGTAGCACGGAGTTCCGTCGAGTGCAGCAATCTCACCTCAACTGCTAAAAGACTCCTGCCAAAAACATGCCCTAATAGACGAGATATAGCCCCCAATGCGACGCTGGCAACTGCATGAGACACGGGCCCCTCGGATCCTCCACGCCTACACCATACACCTGCTACCACATGCAGTTGGGGCACGTCTAATTCACTAGCCAAGCAGCTAGACACCTTCTGGTATAGCTGCCCGGTGCTCCGTAGGGGTGACAGGGGTCAATCCCACCAGTGACCACACGTGCGAATCCAACATTTCCGGCCCTGCACAAGCCATGTCTCAGATGGCTGAACCGTTTTGCTAGCTAAGGATTTTATCTCCACCGGAATTCCGAGGGGAGTTGGGGCCCTGCCCTGAGCAGATTCGTGTTACCGAATATGGAGTTGCATGTTCGGTAGATTAATTCGATGCAGGTGCTGCGCTTGGGCCTGGCGTGGGTTTCTTTTTAATCTATTTTATGCCCCTGCCATCTTCTTTTTGGTGCTGGGTGCGCCGTGATTGGGTGGTTCTTTTGTTACTGAGGCTTTTTAGATCTGTCAACGCCGGTATTTGACCGTTCCTTGTGGTGTTCGCATATCGGCTTTACATACCTTAGTGGGCACGGAGTAGTACTTGGTGTGGTATTTTGGTTTATTGCAATGGACTTTTGTTCGATAATGTACAGGGTTGGCTTTTTTTATTTTTTTTAGATTTTGTTGTAGACTCATAACGATCAAGGCTAATAATTACACATGGCTTGAAGTGCATTGGGATAAATGTATCAATTGCAGTTCAGATGGCCCCTTGCCAGACGCCTGGATGAGAAAATGGAAATAGAACTTTGAATAGTAACAGAAAGAGTAGTGAATGAGGCAGAATTCACTCCTGCATCTCCGTGTCCTCGGTAGTTTTCGAAGGCTCGCCGAACAGTTCGTCGTCGTCGTTGTCTTCAGTGACAACCTTTTCGGCTTGCACTTCTTCTTCCTCGTCCTCGTCATCGTCGGCAATACGACGAGACGCCTTGCCACGACGACGCGGCGCAGCTTCTTCAGCAGGCTCGTCATCGTCGCCAAACAGCTCGTCCTTGTCTTCGCCAGCAGACCGAGCAGCCTCTTCATCGTCAGAGTCAACAACCATCTCACTGCTCTTATACTTGCCAGGCTTCTCAGACTTGGCAGCCTGGGCCTTCCCGCCCGGTCGGCGTTCCAAGCGGCGTCGCTTCTTAGGCGCCGCTTCGCCCTCGCTCTCGGCCGCGCTGTGCACAGCATCGGCTTCTTCTTCATCCGCGATGAAATCATCCCCACCCTTCTTCTTGCGCTTGCTGGTAGGCTTCTTCTTGCGCTTGACCCGGTCACCGGTCTCGGAGTCGTTGGTCAATTCCGCCTCCTCACGAGCGCGCTCGTCTTCAGCGCGCTGCATGGCATGTCGTTGCACCTCTTCGACCATCTGCGCGCGTTCCTCGGCGATACGCTTCTTACGCTCCATCTCGACCTCCTGGGCCTTGCGCAGCTCCTCTTCCCGGATCCGCGCGGCTTCTTCGCGGGCTTCACGGGCTTGCTGAAGCTTCGCGGCATTCTTCTCTTCGTACTCCTTCTGGCTCTGCATGGCTCGGTCAAGCTGCTTGCTGATGGTGCGGCCCATGTTGGCTCGCTGCTCCAAAGCGGCGCTGGGGTAAGGCGGGTTCTCCTCCTTGGAAAGACGCTCGAAGGTTTCAATGGCCTCCTTGAGACCCTCCGCTGCCTCTTGGACATCCTGGAGCGTCTTCTGGGTAGGCTGCAGACCGTATGCAAGCGAGGCGATTTGGTTCTGGACGAAAGCAACGTTGAATTGCAGGTGAAGTTGATCCGGAGAGACGTCGCGTGCGCGCGTGGCGTAGTCGAGTGCTGTCTTCATTGCGGCCAAGTTCGCCTCCTGCTTGCCTCGTAGCCACCATACACGACCAAGACAAGCCAAGATTTGCACATCGCGTTGGCGATCCTTCGACAACGCAGCTTCGTAGTGTTCGATTGACCGTGAGAACTGACGGAGCTCAGCGAAGACATGTCCCAAGTTGAGGTAAACGCTGGGGTCCTTGACCGTATCGCGAACCTTGGACAGGATTTGGACAGCAGAGCTGTGGTCTTTCTTGTCATCGACCAGGGCGATCGCAATACCTTGGGCCGCATATGCGTTCTTGGGATCTAGCTGGAGAGCCTTGTCGAAGAACTCCACAGCACGCTGGTAAATCTTGCGACGCTTTTCCTTGTCTTGATCTGTGTCGCGGCGCATGTCACGGGCAGCGAGGAGATGAACATTGCCCATTCCAGTCAACGCGTAGCGATCATGTTTGTCATAGTACTGCAACGTGTGCTTGAAATGGCGTTGCTCGCTATCTTCAGCAAGGTTGGCAACTCGTTTCTTCGCCTTGCTAAGATACCATCCGTAGAGTGCCCGAACTTCCAGATTCGTGCTGTCCGCTTCGTAAAGCTTGCCAATCTTCTTAGGGCCCTCGTCTGTGGGGCTCTGGCGAAGGGCAATATATGTAATGCGTGCATTAGCTTCCGTGTAGTCAGAGTGACGCTCCAGAAGACCTTCGTAGACCTTCTTAGCTTCGTCCCACATGTCGGCTGCCTCGTAAGTCCGTCCAAGGTTGTAGCTAATTGTGGTGACGAGCGCATCGGTATCCATGCCATCCTCTTTTTCCTTGGACTGCACGCAGGCGTTGAGTGCAGACTGGAACAAGCCACGAGCTAGAGCGATCTTCTCGCTCTGGTATAGGAAGCAGCCCATGTTGTTGAGGAGCTGCGGCGGGAGACTCTCCCTAAGAGCAGCGTTCATCTGATCCTGGTCCTCGATGTCAGGTCGAGCATCTTCCGGAATTTCAGCAATCTGGATCTGTTCCAGTTGGGTCAGGCACTGCATGCTCTTATCAGGAGCTGTGCCCTCGTAGAGACGGGAAAGATAAACAAGAACCGACTCGTCGGGGGAGATATTTTGCTTCTCGTCCTTCCACATAGAGCGCACTGACTCAAGCAAAGTGATGGCTCGCTTTGCCTCAGTCGACTTGTCTTCCTTGCTGCCTGATTTCTGAGCAGCGAATACTTCTTCCGCGTGAATAGCAGCAAGGAGGATCATCGCCTCCGGGTTCTTCGATTGCTGAACAATCTTCTCTAGTTTGAATTTGGCACCGTCAAAGTCCTTGTTCGCGATCTGCATTTGCACAGCGCCGAATTTGGCGGGAAGATAACCCTTGTCGACTCCACCGCGGGCTTGATCGGAACGGTTGTAGTACTCCGTGGCATGGGCATCGTCGCCTTCATAGTGCGACTTGCGACCGAGGAGGTACCAGCCGTCACTGGCAATAGACATAACATCTGTGTGCTCGATGGCTTTGCGTGCCAATGTCTCGACGGTGGGATATGATTTGCGGAGGAGGAAGTAGCTGGCAAACAGGGAGCAGGTCATCGGGTATTCCTTGTCCAGCTTGAATGCCTTTTGGGTGTATTGAGTCATGGCTAATTTGTACATTGACCCAAACATAGGGTCGGTGGTGGCTCGGCGAGAGCTGTCGTGGAGGTAGTAAACTGCCAGCAGGACGTTGGCAACCTTGGACTCGGGGTTCTGCATAGCGATGACGGTTAGTTATGGTGAAAAATAAAACCTTGCGGAACTTCCTCTCGCATACCAGAGACAAAGATCTCTCCCAAGCTACCTTGGCTTGATCCTTGAAGCCCAGCTGCCACAAGCAACATCCTAGACCAATACGAGGGTCAGGATCTGTGAGGTTAGGCATCTTGATCAGAGCCTTTTGGTATCCTTCTAGTGCATCTGCGTATCTTCCTAGCATGTAATGCGCGCGGGCACGTCCCAGAATAGCCATGATGTTCCGGCCACCAAAGGCCTTGGATGACTCGTCGAAGCATTTCAGAGCCTGCCGCAGCGACTCGACTCTTTCCGAGGTATCAATCGCACCTGGACGAACAGCACGGGGCGGGTATAGTGATGCACGGAGGAGACACAAGACACCACGCGCCAGGAAGAGAGGAGGATAAGCCGGGTTGAGTCGCGAAGCCTCGTTCAACGTCGACGTCGCAAGTTGGAGGTAGTGATCTTTGGTCTTGGATTCCGAGTATAGTTCCCCTTCGGGTGCAACTCGAGGGGCATGTCGGCTCTTTAGCAGCAGCATCCAGCAGATCCAGCCCAATAGGCCGAGTTTCTCCTTTGTCGCTCCGTGGGCGACGGAGGCCAGACCCTTAGTCAAGATGTCGATGGCATGGTCGATCTGCTTTCGCTTCGCGTAAGCGAGCGCAATGATCACCCAGAAATTCTTGGCCGCTTTTTCGTTCTCCAAGAGGGTGCAAAGCTCAGTCGGGTCATCGGGGAGCTCGAGCAAGCTGACTTCGACTTCGCTGTCGAAGCTGGACGCGGGAATATCGATAGCATCGGGGATATCGGAGAAGCGCAAGCTGCTCAATGGGCTAGCTGCAGGTACAGCATCACCGTTCAGGCCATTGGTTTGGCCATTCTCAAGAGGCGCCATGGTGAGTCCGGGAACGGGAGGGATGAGGCCACTTTGCGAGTCGGTATGGGATTATAGGAGCCTCAACTCATGATCAAGCGAGGCGATCCATCAAAAAAGGTCAGAATCAGGAGCGATAAGGTTAGCGACCCTGAGTTTGGAGAAAACGCGAAAAATTGACTCTCGGAGACAACAGCCCGGCGATGAGAGGTGAGAATTGAACGATTGGAGTGGCTGGGCTGCACCGCCACAGGACGCCACACCGCATACAATAAACAATACAACACCTTTTGGACAATTGAATGATCACTTTCCGATGATTTCTAGATGAATAAAAGCAAAATAAGTGGAGAAAATGGCATTTACTAAATTTACTAGTAGAATACCTAGGTGCGGTATTCATCCCTGCACCCAGCTTGTTACAAATTTGCAAAGCAAAGCAACACTGAGCAGCACCCCGAAGATAAGACTAAGCTCACTCCAGTGGCGCAGGCGACCATAGGACTCAACATATCCAGCTGTAGCAGCAACCAGCTGGCCATCTACTGCATTCTCGGCTTTGATCGAACCGGCCAACTCGGATGGGAACCGGCCCGTTTCGAAGTACTGATCCATAAGTTGATCCTTCTCGGTCCAGCGTGCTGTAAGCCAGTCCTCAAACTCCTTCTGGTCATCAAGAGGAATCTCCGAGACGTTGAAGCGTCTCCAATGCATGTTGACTGAGGTCGGCGGTCGTCCTTGCAGATATGTGGAGCGAAGAGTGAAGTATTTATCGGGATAGCTTCCCTTTCTATAGACGGACTTGTGAATATCGTTCTACTGGGATATAGGGGGAGGGAAACATACGGTGGCCCTTCATAGGCTATGGTGCAGTCATACACCCAGTCTACGGTTCCCCGCAACTGCTGAAGACAGAAGAACAGCCCTGTAGACCGCGGAAGAATCACGTGCTTGAATGAAGGCAGTCCCTGTTTCTGCCCCCAAATGTCGCTGCGTCTCTTGGTATTGGTGGACAGGTTTGTCCCCTCGGGGAAGATTAGCAGCCACATGGGATCGTACTGCGGGCGGGCTGAGTTGGAGCCCCCGTAGACTGTCTTCAACTTCTGCAAACGATGCTCAAGCCTTGGCTTGTCAGACGTCCACTTGCGAGCCATGAAGATAAAACCGTAGAACATCATGCCCGTGCCCACCAATGGGATATACTTAAGCGACTCTTTCAGGATGATGAAGAGGCGGCCATGCATCTGGTTGGTGTATGCAACCCACCAGAGGTAAACCCAATCAGTGTAGACCTGGTGGTTCGAGATCAGAACGAGACGCTCCGGGAACCTGGTCTCCAGTAATCCATCTTTCGATAGATGGATCTGCCCACGCACGCTAGCATCACCACTGACCCGGAAGAGCGTCGGAGAGCTCCATTCGGTGAGAGCAGCGAGGACCAGTCCGAAGCTTTGTTTTGTATATGCCATATACGAATAGTAGTAACGTTTGTTGATCAGATACAGCGGGGAGCCGATTACTTGCGTCACGCAGATCGCTATAATACAGCAATCCACCCATGTCATCAGCAGAAGCGAACGCAGTAACTGCATGGGAATGCCATGTTTGAGACGGGGCTCGGAAGGTGGTTTGGTCGAGAGCTGCTGAAGATCCCCGAGATTTGCGGTCGGCGGCTTGCGCTGTCGAACCTCGGCAGACTCCATGGTAGAAGTTCGGAGGTTCGGAGATCCCTGTTGTTTTAGAGACTGAGAAATGAGGTAGAAATTCAAGTAATAGACTGGAAGCTAGTGAATGCTTCTACGGCTGTACAGAGCCCGGTCTGGTCGGATGTGGAGAATCGAGATAGTGATGATCGATAGTATGGGCTGCAACAAAGCTAGGCAGAAGCTAGGAAATGAAATAAATTGCCATTCCCTTGGGGAAAGAAGGGGATTATAGTAAAAGAGATTGTTAAATCAAAAGAGATAAGTGTTGCGGAGCTGAACAGTTGGAGAGTTGAATAGTTGGAGGGGAAAATCAGGCGGATCCTGGTGGATCCAAAATGACGGTCACAGCCTCATAACGTCACCTGAGTTTCTTATTATTTACTTGACAACTTTTTCTTTGTGATTCATCCAATTCTCTGAGATACCGGAGCTATACAACTTAAAATCAACTGTTGTGTCAGCTCATTATACGCCAGTTCCTACTTCAGGCTGAAAGATGGCGCGTTGATGTGAGCACCGACCAACTCGAATACTCGCTGATTGGAGTCCTCCGGGCTGATACATATGACCAGGGTCGATAGGCCTGCGATTCTTCTTACAACATGCTCTGCGCCATCATCCGCAGGAGCCCGCGCAGGAGTTCCCGTCTCGCCTTGCGCCAGCATTTTTCCACGTCTCAACCACGTCACGAGGTCAAAGACATCGGCTCTTTGTCTCAGCGCCTAATACCCAAGTACCAAGGTGTGGCTTGGAGCTGTCCTATTGGAGCGGTCTTATTTTGTTGATAGGAAGACTAATGGATTCTCAGAATCTTGTGACGGAGAGCTGCTGTGTCTCCAGTGGCCAGCACCGCCGCGAAATATCTTCTTGGTGCGCAAAGATTGCGCCCCGGCGGTTACAGATTCCCTGATTGAATTCGTCAAGTAAGATCGAGAGATGCCCACGGGAAGCGACTTGACGACTCAAGGCTGACATCTACGAGCCATGTTTCCTCTACATACCCATCTATCTCGGTGATTCTCGAGTCAAAGACTGCCGCCGAAGTACATTCGTCGCTCTCTTTTCCCGTATACTCGGTTTCTCCCGACGAGAAAACGACCGCCCTTCATGATAAAGTCGACCTCACGGTGACACTGGGCGGCGACGGTACGATTCTACATGCAGCGTCGCTTTTCGCGACCTGCTCAAACGTTCCACCCGTTCTATCATTTAGCATGGGTACATTAGGCTTCTTGGGTGAGTGGAGGTTCTCAGAGTTTAAACGTGCTTTCCGAGAAGTCTACATGTCTGGTGCCGGGGCAGGTGATCGAACACCTGTGTTGGAAGGCCCAGAAGCGACAGTCACACAAGAGATTGAGATGGGCCCGACCGGGTGGTCTTCCGTCCGGGGAAAATCAATGGGCTCTACGCGCGGGGCACGCATTCTGATGCGCAATCGGTTGAAGGTAGGACTGTTTACTGCTGACGGGACCGAAACGACGCCTATCCGAACCAAGACCGACCAGGGTCAGGGGGTGTATGTGATGAATGAGCTCCTCATTCACCGTGGCAAAGAACCGCACTTGGCTGTGGTAGATGTGTTTGTGGGTGGGCGGTTCCTGACTGAAGCTGTGGCCGATGGAATCATAATTTCCACACCGACCGGAAGTACAGCCTACAGCCTGAGTAGCGGTGGTAGTATTGTGCATCCGCTAGTCCCAGCCATCCTTCTAACGCCGATCTGCGCGCGTAGCCTCAGCTTCCGGCCATTGGTGCTCCCTTCCAGCGCCCCCATCACACTGCGGCTAAGCGAAAAGAACCGTGGACGCGAACTCGAGGTCAGTCTGGATGGTGTCAATTTAGGCCAAGGGATGGGAGTTGGTATGGAAGTCCGAGTTTGGAATGAGGAGATGCGTCATGGGAAGAATGAGTGGCAGGGTGGTGTCCCCAGCGTGATGCGACGGAGTGTGGGGGGTGAAGCGCATGAGGGCTGGGTAGGTGGATTGAATGGCTTATTGAAATTCAACCATCCATTTGGCGAGGTATAACATTGTACAATAATAGAAGAAGGATAAGAAGATCAAACACGACCCCGTACAAATTATATCAAGTGGTAGACCGTGGATCCAATCCCCTTGGGAGCTGATGTGATTGGCAGAGGCTTGTTTTCTGTAGATGAACTTCCCAAGTACTCTCGGCCCTATCTCAGGGGACATCTCTTCCCCCCCCTTTCCCTCTTCATTCTTCCCCAACACTCAACTTGCGATTCTTTTATTGATTCTTTTAAGTCTGATATCGCGTTGCTTATTCTTGAGCATCCTCGCAGTGCGAGGACCGCTCCTCATTTCTAGACAAACAGGTACCTATTCTACCCCTCCTTCGATTCCCTCGATACTACTCTACTCTCCCGTTATCCCGGGAAGTGAGTGTGTTCGAGTGATTCTCTCCACAAAGAGAAAATCCCTGAATTGTTTTTTTTCTAGGGCATCCTCTCCCTGAATGCAGTTGCTAATTCCTGTCTAGTAACTAGCGCTAGCCGGTCTTAGGCCTCAGGAGGTCTCGGCGCATTCGTTTACCCATACCCCCTCCCGCCCCCCTGCGCGACCTGGGAAATCCCTTGAACAATGACTTCGTATGGGAAGTACGTAGTCGCACCATCTATCCTTGGAACCCCGAATCTGGTGGAATTTTACTCACCCTCCATAGCAACATGTACGCGCCGGAGCAGTTCATGAATCCGGGGCCAGCCCCCCGGCCCCCTACCGATCGACCCCCCAAGTTGACTCTACCCACCAACAGCACAACATCCTCCTTTGGTCAGATGAGCTCGGACTCTCCGATCACACCGGGTCTGTCGTCGGCAAATCTCTCGCTTTTCCCCAACACCAGCAGTCCCTCGCTGGCTGTGACCCGGAGTAACACTACCCAAAATGGAATCTCCATTATCAAAGAAGGCACCGTCCGCTGCAAAGAGGACAAGTTTTTGGCCACTTGGAATACGCGTTACTTGATCCTGCGCGAATTCAAACTCGAGTTTTTAAAGAGCGATTCCGGCAAGGTAGTGATTACCTTCCCTTTGTCCACGGTCACCGCTGTCGCTCGCTCCGAGGATTCGAAGATGGCCTTCGAGGTCACTCGCTTGGCCAACCCGAAGGATGCAAACTCCAAAACCGCTCTCCTTGCCCGAGACCTACCTACCAAGACCATCACCTGCGAAGTCAAATCGGACGATGAAATCTACGAGTGGATCGACAAGATCTACGAGCGCTGCCCTGGCATGGGCGGCGTCAGCAATCCGACAAACTTCAGTCACCGTGTTCACGTCGGCTTTGACCCCAACACTGGCGCCTTTGTAGGCTTGCCTCCAGAGTGGGAGAAGCTTTTGACATCCTCGGCTATCACCAAGGAAGACTACAAGAAGAACCCTCAGGCTGTCATCGAGGTTCTCGAATTCTACTCAGACATCAAGATGCGTGAGCAGAACCCGCAATACTATGCTGGGATTAACTCCCCGCCCAATGGTCAACCCAAGGCATACGGTAGTAGTGTTGGAAGCTCCATTGCACCCCCACGTCCTGCCCCACCAGGACCTATGCAGCGCCTTGATAGCAGTCAGTCGAAACAATCTGAAGGTTCTATGCGCTCTGCGTCATCTTCCGTCGGACAGGCGGACCGTGCGGCAGACCACCAACAGCAAGTTGACCGGATGAAGGAAATAGCCGATCAAGAGCGTCGCCGCGTGGAGGAGGAACGTCGCAACAAGGAGGAGCAAGATGCTTACAACGCATCCATCCCGAAGGGCCGTCCTACTATGGCTCAACAGGAGCTTGGTGGTTATGGCGGCGACGACTCGTCACAGAATAGCCGCTATCAACCAAGCCGCCCAGCCCCTCAGGCTCCAGGCTCTGCTGCTCGCCAGCAAGACCGACAGCTCACCGCACAGCGTCCCGCACCCGCGCCACCGTCGCAGGGTCCTTACGGCCAAAGCGCAGCACCGGGCGCTCCTCGAACCGATGACCAGCAGGGCTCTCCAAGCTCCCGCAGTGACCCTCGGGCCCCAGGTTCTGCCAACCGTCCCCAGCAGAACGGTTCTAAGGCCGGACCCCCTCCGACACGCCTACCGGCCCCCGTTCAAGCTGTGAAGCCGTTGAATATTGCCAACAAGCAAAACGGGACCAAGAACGTCCCCGATGGCGTTCGCCTAGCCGAAGCCGCTCTTACGAAGAAGGCAGAGCCGCGGAAGGAGGTGCGCATGTCAGGCATGTCAGAGAACGAAGTCATGGAGCGGCTGAGGTCTGTCGTATCCAAGGATAACCCGAACGAGTCTTACAGCAAGCAGCGCAAGATTGGTCAGGGTGCATCTGGATCCGTTTATGTGGCACGGGTCAAGGAAACCGCACCTACTGGTGTTGCCCACGAGCTTTACCGGACGTATGGCCCGCGCTGCCAGGTGGCCATCAAGCAGATGGACCTGCGCAGTCAGCCCCGGAAGGAGTTGATCGTCAACGAAATCATTGTCATGAAGGACAGCCAGCACCCGAATATTGTCAACTTCCTTGACTCATTCTTGCAGGAATCAAGCAATGAACTCTGGGTTGTCATGGAGTTCATGGAGGGTGGCGCGTTGACCGATGTGATTGATAATAACCCTGTAATTACTGAAGGTCAGATCGCGACTATTTGTTTCGAGGTATGTTTTCCATCCAATGTTGTTTTTTATCCAATTACTGACGTTTTTACCAAAAGACTTGCAAGGGTCTGGCCCATCTGCACAACCAGAGCATCATTCACCGTGATATCAAGAGTGACAACGTCCTCCTTGACCGCGTTGGCCATGTCAAGATCACTGATTTCGGCTTCTGCGCCAAGCTCACCGAACACAAGAGCAAGCGCGCTACCATGGTCGGAACCCCTTACTGGATGGCACCCGAGGTGGTCAAGCAGAAAGAGTACGGCCCGAAGGTCGACTGCTGGTCGCTGGGTATCATGGCCATTGAGATGATCGAGTCGGAGCCTCCTTACCTAAACGAAGAGCCCCTGAAGGCTCTCTACCTTATTGCCACCAACGGAACCCCCCGTCTCAAGAAGCCCGAGAAGCTCAGCAAGGAGCTCAAGGCTTTCCTGAGCGTCTGCCTCTGCGTCAATGTCCACAGCCGCGCTTCTGCCGACGAGCTCCTTGCTCATGAATTCCTGCAGACCGGATGCAGCCTCGCTAGTCTAGCTGAGCTGCTCCGCTGGAAGAAGGCTACTAGCTAGTAAATAACTGCTCTTCACCTGCACAACTTGAAGCAACATCTGGATCCCATTTACGCGCGTCCTCGATTTCCATTCACGCGCGCCTTCGATTTCCATTCTCACAGGAACCACTCTTCCCGTGTGTTCTTTTCCCCGTCTTCTTCACTGCACTCTGCATTGCAGATATCATTGCGGCTCTGTTCTCTTTACTTACCATACAACCCTGGGCGTGGATAATCTGGCGTTTGATCTGTTTTTTTCTTTTTCCCCTGTCCAACTTCTTTTCGATGCTTGCACAAACACATACCATGTTTCCCCCTATGACGTTCACGATTTTGCAACTTGCACTGTATCATGTGCCCTTGCACAAAAGCGAAGAATAGTTTAAAATCCGATGTGACTTTGACTTGATTTCTTTATTAAAAAGAATCACCGTTTACGTGCATTGAGCCCTGGTGTATGTAACCTTGGGCTCTTTGTGCCGTACTCAGCCAGTTGTCCAAAAGGATATCAAACAAATACATGTCTTCACATAACCTTACGGGGTCAATTTCATACATGGTTCATCACCTATCTGACTTCATATCACGAACAACTAATCGGGTACTTATGCCTCTGTCCTTGACAAGACAATGGGGCTTAGGATAATCTAAATACCAGTTGTATCGAGATTGATATCAGAGACCACTACCATACCATTTTTAATGTCAAATATTTTTTATTGAAAATTCGTCTGCACAATTGAAGCCCGCTTTAAGACTACCCTCGAGTTAACTGAGATCAAGGCCGCAAATGCGGCCAATTATCCTTGGATGTAATATGTCATTGACAAGCGTAAGTAAAACTAGCATATAAAAATTCATATAGAAGACATAAGGAACGAAAGGAAACCAAAACCTCCAATATCTCCTCCACCCAAAAAAATTCAGTTGAACTCCTCCCTCACAACTGTACCGTACAAACCTTGCTAAACAAGACTCCAACAAGATCACTCTCGCCCTCAGAAGCCGTCCAACGGCCCCCATCCACAAGCCTCTGTTTCCAAATACTCTGCTCAGACGCAGACAGATCCTCCCAAGCTTGCAGCATCTCCTCCTCAAACTGCTCGGACTCGTCCGCAGACAGAGAAGCAGCAGTCTCAATAATCACACTCTGCTCAGCATCTTGCCCTTCACCGCACCGAACGATGACAGAGATGGACTGCGGCGCGATGGTTTCCAGGTCAGCGGGTGCGGCACCGGCGCGGTGAACGCGGTCCAGGATCTCGCGGAGGGATTCAATCTGCGAGTCTGTGGGGCCGAAGGTCGCCACTGGGATATCGGTATCACTGCCGCTTGCGCGCGGCGCAAGAAGTGTATCGAAATATGTCAGCTTGTCCCGTGGGGGTATGACGTATTCCCGTGCGATGGCTCCGCGGATGCTGTCTGGGAGCCATTCTGTCGCGCCGAGGACAGGCGGGGTACCGCCGCGGATCTCGGCGAAGGCAAGCATTGCTACGCAGATTGCGGATATGGAGAATAGTAGGATGATGATGCTGTATACTAGTTCCCAGATTTCGGCGGGGCCTGGGGTGACGAGGACGTAGCGTGGGGTGCGGGAGGAGGTTGGGAAGGGGGATAGTGGGAATGTGTGTACGACGACTGTGTTGCCCATACTGACGGAGGCGAGCTTTATGTTCTGCGGACCGACGTCTGGGGTTACGGGGTGTGCCGGCGCGATGAAGGTGGAGAAGGTGAGTTTTGTCATTGAGAATGGGTGCACGTCGCGGAGGGTTGTGTAGGGGCGGAAAGTGCTGTAGCCGCGGTTTGGTCCATATTCTAAGGTAAATATAGGGATGGAATTGTCGCTGCCGCTGGCTGCGATAACCGTTTGTTGTTGGCCTTGCGGGTTTGTTCCAAGTTGGCAGATATCGATTCCTAGGCCGATCTTCATTGTTCGAGGGAGCTTGCGACGTCGTAGAATTTTGGACTTGCTCGATTTGGCATTAGGGAGTTGAAGGAGGACGAGCTCGCTACCACCGCGGTTTGGAGCATTTTGGAGGAGAAGCAGGGTTCTAGACGAGAGGAATCGTAGCGCGCGGAACTTGGAACGTGCTGTGCGAGCTCCACTAGCGGGCAGAGGAATAGTATAAATGGAGCGGACCTCGGGGGAGCTGTTAGAGGAGATCTCGCCAACCATGACGTCTGAGCCGGTGGTATATGCCACAAGGAACCGGCCGTGTGCATCATCGGTCTTGCCCAAGTCGTCTTCGAGATTGACAAAGTCCAGGTCCTCGGCCTCTTCATTGCCGCTTAATTGGATGCGACCAATGATATCCTTCTCGCTGGGCGTCTCTGTGACGCGGAAGAACACAATCTCACCGGACGGTGCCATACCCGTTGCAACGGCTCCGATCCGTGTGTGTTTCTCAGTGCCATTTTTCCCCTTCGGCCACGGCGAGAGTCTCGTCACTCGCTGATATGTATCTGAAGAACCTGGTCCGTTCTTCCCTCGGAAGAGTGATGCTTGCGACAAAGCTATAGCCTTGCCGGGAATAACCTCTTCCTTAAACTTGGTGTCCTTTTTCGCCTCATCCTTCTCGCTGTCTTCCGCGCTTTGTGTGGTCTTCCGCGGGGCCTCAAACCGGAATGAGCGAAGATGTTGATTGTTATTCTTTTTCTGTTGCTCCACAGAGCTATTTATACCGGCCAGAGCAACAAGCGAGCCCGCCTCGTCGCTAGCCAGCGGGGCCGCAGCCAGCGAGGTTACCGAGTCTTCATCGCATGATAGGTTCAATTCGACGACTTCAGTGATATCATTTCGATGCGATGTGTCAAGTAGAGACTGTACATAAAATAACGATTAGCATTTGCACGACGAGAGGGAGGATATTCTCGAGGGAACTTGCGATCTTGTTTCCAACTCCACTACGCCCCTCGCCGCCTCCGCCACCGACTAGGAGTCGACCGTTGTTGCGCGGGTCAAAGTCCGCAGCGAAGAGCGGACACGAGAGTGTCAATTTAGCGGAGTATACTGTGGGTGCCATTGTTGTCGACAAAACAGAGTGTAAAGAGGACAGATGGGATGACGGAGGTGCCCCGGATTCTTGGCGCGGTAGCCCGGGAATGCCGCGCGAAAACTATATTGTGAGTTTTATAGATTTACAAAGATAGGACTACTACTCTATTTTAGTTGGTATGGGAAGAAGATGAGACGAAAAAAAAGTAAATAGTATTTTATCATGCACTCTAAGCATTTTAAGCCTCGACTTCTTGGGAAGTGAACTCGGGCAGGCGCTTGCGGATATCCTCCCATGTCTCGTCACCCTCAACAAGTGACTTGACAGCCTGCAGGATATCGTCCTCGCTGGCACGGACCTGCTTGGTGGTATCGCGGTCGCGCAGGGTGAAGGTGTTGTCCTGAACGGACTGGAAATCCACGGTAATACCGAAGGGTGTGCCCAACTCGTCGTTGCGAGAGTAACGCTTGCCGATACTGGCGGAAGAGTCATCGACACGGTTGGAGACACCGGCCTTGCGCAGCTTCGAAGTCAGACGCTGGGTCAGAGGCTTGAAGGAGGCGTGGGTGGAGAGAGGAACCAGCAGGACCTTAGTGGGGGCAACCGCGGGAGGGAAAGAAAGAACCTATAGAGTATCGTTAGTACCAGCGTTCATGTGAAAAGAATGCAAAAGGAAGGCTTACACCACGGGTTTCGTCACCGGCACGGGACCAGTAGGAGTGCTCAATGATACTGTAAAGAATACGTCCAATACCGAAGGACGGCTCGATCACATTGGGGGTGTACTCGCGGACATTCTCAACGCGAGTGCGCTTCTCAATCTTGATCAGATCCTTTTCGATCTCAACCTTGCCAGATCCAACACCCTCAACATCGACCTCAATCTTGCCGTCCTTCTCGAGGTCAAGAGACAGCTTCTCGCGCAGCTCCTGGGACAGAGCCTCAACAGCCGCCTCGACAGTCTTGGCGTCCTTCTTGAATCGAGGGCCAAACTTCTTCTTCTCAAGTTCAATCTGGTACTCCTCGATACGCAGAGGCTCAGCACGGGCCTGGCGCACCACAAGAGGGGCACCGGTCTTCTCCCGGTGGACAGTCAGATCGTAAGCGGAGCGGTCAGCACAACCGACACACTCAATCCAGCCGTAGCTGGTCAGCAACTCGGCATCCCAGCAGTCAGTAGCGTAGTGAGCCATCTCATTAGCCATGTGCTGACGGAAGCGCAGCTTGGTAGGGTCAACACCCAGCTTCAAGAGGAAGGACTGAATGCGGGCCAAGAAATAGCCCAAAGTCTCGTTGTCGACCAGGCCAGTTTCAACAGCCTTGCCGATGGTCATTTTGGTCAGCTTTGTGCTTCCGGACAGCTGCACGTTACGGTCAAGCAAGGTCAGCTCAGTATCCTTGACCTCATCGAAGCGAGCGTGCTTCTTGCCACCCTCTGGGTCGACGTAGTGCTCAATCTCGGCCATGAGGAACTCGCGCACACGCAGGAGACCGGCGCGGGGAGAGATCTCGTTACGGAAGGACTTGCCAATGGAGGCAGAGGCGAACGGCATCGACTGCTGGTTGAACTCCAGGAGCTTGGCGAAGTTCAGGAATTGACCCTGGGCGGTCTCAGGACGCAGGTAACCGGGCATGTTGGCGCTAGGGCCAATAGTGGTCTGGAACATGAGGTTGAAGGAGACTGGAGGCAGCACCTCGCCGCCGGTGACGGGGTTGCGAATGTCGTGCTTCTTGATGAGCTGCTCCAGCTCGGGGCCACCGTAGTTGTCAATTTGTGCGAGGGTCTCCTCGTACTCCTTGACCAGGGCATCATCCAGCTTCTTAGCCTCGGTGCCCTTGGCCTTTCTCTTCTTCTTGGCCTCCTTCTCCTCGTCCACCACAATTTTCTCACCGCGCGCCTGCTTGTCTCCCTTGAGGCGGGCCTCGAGCACCTCCTCAACCAAGTGGTCAGCACGGAAGATCTCGCCAGTCTTAGGGTCCTTGCACATCCAGTCGGCGAACTTGTCCACGTGCCCACTGGTCTTGAGAATCTCGTGGGGGGTGAGCATGGTGGTGTCGACCTCGAGCATGTCCTCCTCGAGCACGAAGTGCTTGCGCCACAAGTCGGTCATGTTGGCGATCAAGGCGGTTCCAGGTGGGCCATAGTCATACAGACCAGATACACCACCGTAAATTTCGAAGGAGGGGGTGTAGAACATGCGACGGCGGAGCATGGAGTCCAGCACCGTGCGGTCGATAGACTGGCCGGTCTTGGTGTTGACGGTGGCCATCTTGACGTTTCGTTTCAAGCTCTTCGGGGGAGGGGTGTAATTCCTGAACTGAGTCCGAATGAAAGACGGAGGGGAAAGAAAAGAGCGGGGTGGAAATCGCAGGCGCGGCAATTGAGTCATCCACTACGCACCAGGGCAACCCTCAGGCACCACCGAGAGGACAAAAGACAAGGAGTATAGAACGAGAGAGAACGACCAATTGGGTCGGTCTTTTTTCTTTTCTTTTTATTTATTTTCCTTCTCAAAAGGAGGTCTCCGGGGTCGAATCGCAGATTATCGCTCCGGGGAAACGATTTTCCGAAATAATTTATTTCTCGACGATCTTGACATTTTCCATTGCCTTCAACAGCAGCACTTTACCCTCTCAACTTTCAAAAATGGGTGTCCCTGGCCGATCTGGACCGCCTCCGGGCGTTATGGGTGATATTAAAACTGCCAACAAGCTGCGCCGGAAGATGAACCATGTCAAGCGCAAGAGAGCTAAAGATGCTGCGCGCCGAGAAGAGCGCTACGCTTTCAAGAAAGAAGAAGCCAAGAACCCCCAGTTGAAGGAAGAACGACTTCGCCGCAACATTCCTCTGACTCTCGAGCGGAAACGTGTCTGGAACGAAGCCGACAACGACACCGAAGAAACTGGTCTGGGATTGAGCATTGACGTTGAGCGCATCAAGCGCGCCAAGAAAGAAGAAGAAGACGAGCTCAATCGGCCATTGGAAGAGGGCGAGGATGACAGCGAGGCTCCGGAATCAGACGCTGAGTCAGTTGACAGTATGCTGGAGTCAGACAACGAAGAAGATGAAGATGAAGATGAGGACGAAGAAAAGGGCGAAGACAAAGATGCCAGCCGCAGCCGGAAGAAGGCCTCTATCCGAACTGCGACGGAGCGTGCCACAAGTCCTACGCAGTCCACACGCAGCACAAACCTCAGCCTCGCTCCCGAAGCATTGGCCGCCAAATTCCCTACACTTTTCACCGAGGGACCCCCACCCACCCCGAAAATCCTTATCACTACCGGCCTCAACTCTACCCTCCACGACCAAGCCGAGACCCTGACCGAGATGTTCCCGAACAGCGTGTATATCCGGCGTAATGCCCACCGGTACTCGCACAAATTCTCAGTCCGTGAGATTTCCAAATTCGCCGCAAACCGTAATTTCACGACAGTTATCGTGTTGAATGAAGACCAGAAGCGACCCTCTGGGCTAACGATGGTGCATTTGCCAGTCGGCCCGACTTTCCACTTCACCATCAGCAACTGGATCGACGGAAAGCGGCTTCCAGGACACGGCCGAGCCACCGAGCACTGGCCCGAGCTGATCCTCAATAACTTCCGTACTCCTCTAGGTCTTCTGACTGCCCATTTGTTCCGCACACTTTTCCCGCCCCAGCCAGATTTCGAAGGCCGACAGGTTGTCACTTTGCATAACCAGCGTGATTACATTTTCGTCCGTCGTCACCGCTACGTCTTCCGTGAGAAGCGTGAGACCGAGAAGGCTGTCGTCGGTGCTGACGGCAAGGAAATGGTGGGTGCTGAGGGTATTCGTACCGGTCTACAGGAACTAGGACCTCGCTTCACCTTGAAGCTGCGTCGTGTTGATAAGGGCATCCAGCGTGCCAGTGGCCAGGAATGGGAATGGAAGGGTGGAATGGAGAAGACGAGAACTCTGTTCCAACTGTAAATGTCTCTTTATGTTGTTATTCGGTTTTGCATGGGGTTCGAGGGAGTTATATCCAAAAGCTTGTCTGGTTTCATTGCAATGGACTAAATTTACTTATAAACCACCATGAACTTTATACTCTGAAGGCCATAAGAGGCCATGCCGGCTCTGGATTGGTTACTTGCACAAATACATTCATTGGTATTCATACCCAACTCCCTAAAGGTACGAAGATGGCCAATAATATTTTGTCACATGACATGGCGTTGCTAACATCTTTGATTCATTCAAGTCGTCTATCCAAGTGACCAACGAGATGCATTCGATGGGTTCGAACATTGACCTACCCACCGTTGCGGAGATTGAGGCATCGACTGATGTCCTCGGTATACGAACCAATTCCATTAAAGTGGTTCGAGTGAGAGAACGCTTCACGGTCAAGATTGGATATGCGATTCCGCCTGTAGAGGCAGAGAACATGAAATTTGTCGCAGCCAACAGCATGGTTTCCGTGCCAAAGGTCTATGCCAACTTCGTCGATGCAGAGAACCGAAAAAGATATATCATTATGGATTTTATCCCTGGGGCCGACTTGCAAAAACTACACCCGTCACTCACCCCAGCCGAGAAGAAGACGGTTAGCAAGCGGATCAAAGAGACCTTCGACGAATTACGAGCAATACCATCACCGGGGTACTTTGGAAACTTGAATGGCATGCCTTACCTCGACGGTGTTTTGGCAACGCCAGATAACAACCCAGTTATTTCTGGGCCATTCACGAATCAAGAACAGATGAGTCAGGGAATATTGAAAAGGCTGGGCCAAACGCAATCACCGCACTACATTCGCTTAGTGCAAGGAATGGTCGACCGAACCCTCGAGGACCATCGAATTGTTTTTACCCATGGAGATCTGCAGCCGAAGAACGTAATGGTGGAGCGAACGGTCAACAATAATGGAGATGCAGACTTCAAAGTGACTCTTATTGACTGGAATTTGTCGGGCTGGTATCCCGAGTTTTGGGATTTCTGCAATTCGACAATACATTGTCAAAGGAAACCAGATTGGGTTGAGCTCATTCCAGACATATTTGATCAGTACCCGTTGGAATATCTCATGATGCAACTTGTCTACTCGATGGTCTTTTACTGATGAACTTCAATTGCATCAATTTAAGTCTTGATCGTCAAAATAGAGTCCGAGGAACTATAAAAACATCCACTGATGGAGATAAGCAATTCCTTATCCCCGAACCCGCAGCCAACCTTGCAAGTCACGAGACGATCTCCTGCAACTGAGCCAATGACAATAGAAAAAAAAAAGAATACTAAACAAAGTATATCATACACAAACACCCACCCTCCCTAGAAATATGGATATCCTCCCCCGGCGCCTCATCTTCATAGCCTCAATAGGCAATCCAAAGCCCTACTACAATACCCGCCACAGCGCCGGGCACCTCCTCCTCGACGCCCTAAAACCCCTCCTCGAAGTCACCCTCCCAAACACAGGCCTCTACCACGAAACATGGCAAAGCCCAACACAAATGAACATAACGGGCCCGAAACTCGTGCGCCGACTAGAACAATGGGCAAGCGAGCGCGCCAGCCGACTTGAACGAATCGCCAGCGTCGCCGCAACGCGTGCCTCCTCGTCTTCGTCTTCACCAACCCCAACCAACCTCCCCGCACAAACCACCTACCCAACAACCCTCATCATCCTCCACGACGAGCTCTCCATCGCCATGGGCAAGGTCCGCATCATACGCGGCGGGCCTGAGGAGTTTAGTCTGCGCGGCCATCGCGGGCTCATCAGTATCTGTGAGACGCTGCGCAAGAAGGGGTTGTATCCCCGCTCGTCGCGCGCGAATAAGACGGACACCGGGCCGTTGGCGGATCTATCCATCTTGCGCGTTGGCATTGGTATTGGTCGTCCGTCGTCACATGATACGGGTGCTCTTTCGGACTATGTGCTTGCGACTGTTACCGATAAGGAGCTTAAGGCTTATCAGGCTGCGGCGATGCCGGTGGTGGGGACTATTCGGGATGAGCTTTTCAGACCTGCAGGGAAGGTCTGATGTGACAATGTGCAGAGTGCTTATGCCCCCTCATGATTGGTTATATGCGCAGCGAAGGCATGGAAGTGAAGAAAGTGATGAAGAGCAATGTCAAAGTTGGCTCGTGGATGTATTAACCATATACATAGAAAACGCCTGGTTGAAAACAGGAGATAGCTGCCGATGTTTTATCGACAAAAGCAAAGAAAAAAAAGACGCCAGTCTGTGGCGCAGATCTCAGCGCAGCAAATGAACATCCGGTATTATGCTAATAGAGTAGTCGATTAAAAGAACAACTCAAACGGTTCCAGCTATGCTCAAATCGCGAATCTCCTGCAACACCTCCTCGACCCGGTTATCCAGATCACCCTTGGCATACTGGTCACGAGTCTCGGCATCGAGATACTGCTGCACCTGCGCCATGCGGGAATAAGCCTCGGCACAGAAGCGCAGCTGGATCTTGACGAGAGCTTCGAAGCTGGGGTCGAGGTAGGGCACACGGAGGTCGATAAGCTGGGGGAGTTCGTTGAAGAGCTGCTCGTTCAGCTGCTCGTAGGCCTGCTTGGCCATCTCGGCTTCGCGCTCGGTCCGCGGCAGTTTGGTGACATCCTTGTCTGGCTTCTCGGCTAGCTTCTTGACCTTGGCGCGCATGGCGTCGTAATCCAGTAGCTTGTGGTTGCGTTTCTTGATGCATTCGTTCACGTCGGGGAAGTAGGCGCAGAATCGGGAGATGGGGTCGAGGACGGTGGTACTGTGGATTTTGTCAGCACCACTCATGTGTGCTCGCTAATGTTAGTGAAAGGATCTCTTACCGGTATGGTCCATCCAGTGCCTTAATGGTCTCGGCATCAAGATCCTCAACGGCTTGCTTGTAGCTCCGGCTCACACCGTCTTTTGTTCCCGCGTCGCCATAGAAGGCATCAATAGTCTCCGCAATGCGCATTTGGGACGCCGTCATGGCTAGGAAAAGTCAGCCTTGAACAAGCAGATCTAACAATCCGCAGAGCAAAGGTCACCCACCTCGTAGTGAATCAAGATACCCCTTTGCCTCCTTCTGCAACCGATTGGCAGCAGTCTCCATAGTCCGGTAACGACTACAACGAGCAACGTCAGTTCCATTCCAGTGGCAGTATAACCATCCACAGATAGCAGCAATGACAACCATACCGTTCCTCGATCTCATAATCGCGATCATTCGTCCTCTCGACATGTCCTATACAACCACCGAGTCAACACACCATTCGCATCCACGTGGGCGCGGCAAGTAAATCGTAGCGCGTAGCGGGTATCTCAATCCGGGATCGCCCTCATCTCGATTCATTGCGGGGTAGAACTCGAACAAAACTCACCCGTCTTCATCATCACCTGTGTCGTCGCACGGTTGACATTTTTCTTGAACCCTATCCATCCACACGGTTAGATTCGCTCACACAGACACCGGTTCATGAGTCCGAGGGTTGTAGGATAAGAGGCGTACCTGCCCAAGACATGGTGGCGGTGTTAGTTCGGAGGATCCGGAGATGAAGATCGGCTTTGAGTTGGGTGTGGGTTATAGGCTGTCAGTGGGTATGAAATAGAAGCAAGTCGTATATGATGGCAGTTGGCTGCAGTCGAGAAGAATCTCCGATGTTGAACTGCAGGGAAAGTCGTGAAGGTCCTGGACCCAATGCCAAGGTAGCCAACTTGGTCTGCCTTACGGATGTGGCTGTGTGTGGCTGAGTGCTTATGATTATGTCATATCGTCCGGATGCGGACACGTCATGTTTGGTAGGGCTGGAGTTCGACGGAGTATCCACCAGCGTTGCAATTCAGGTTCTGCTAGGATCTGTAGTATCTCCGTTTTTTTGCAGAGTATTCACGACTGGTAATACGCCGTATATCGTGCCAAGGTATAAATCGAAATATTGTATAGTTATAGGTAGGTAGTATCGAGTTGTGACATTCCTACTCAGATCGGGTACATATAGCCGCTTACGCTAGTAGGCGAGCATTCAAGAGGGAGATAATAATAAAACCCATTTTAGCATAATTACCCCTTACCCCTTAAACAGCGCCATAGTTAGTGTAAGGCTGGGTCTTGCATCCGCGACAATACGCCTGCATGGCATGTGCATATCGAGGTATTCCTCTTATCCACTTCGTCCACTTCGTCTACGCCGTAATGCTGATGCCTAAGTAACTGAGTTATGTGTTGGTTCTTGGCGGACAGCTGTATGACAATGCCAAGCTCGAACAAAAGCATTTTCCGTCTGCTCGAGATTTTACTCGAAATCCATTTTTTTGGGTTGGTTGCTTGGATTGGGTATCTGGGTGAAGGAAGTCGCATAGTCCGAATCCACCTCTTTAGCTGCATGTGTTGTTTATTACCGAGTTCCGTACGAAGTAACTACTCCGTACAGACCCAAGGTATGTGGATAATTAGAAGTTATAAATGCATGTGTGAATAATCAAAGGTTGGACGGAGTACATAGAAAAAAGTACGGAGTAGTTTCAAGTCTTTCTCTGCCGTCTACCTTGAAAACTTAGAAGTTAGCAGGGAGAGGATATCTATAAAACAAATCCATACTATATCGAGCCAACTGGATCGGTCGTGCTCAATGGTAGAGGCGGTAAACGCGGCCAACTATTCTCGTGTGATTAACTAGTTAGACTGCGCTAGTCTACAATATGACACACTCGATTGCATCAGACCGCTGGGCCTTCTTGTTTCTCGCTAGCGTATGGAGGATGCATGGGTTATTATCGTTGATCGGAAAATACCTCCAGGTTGAATGATATCACTGGTCCTGGTGTGTTGGAAAGATACCGGAGCTAATCTACTGCGCTGTGCGGATCGCCTCGGTGACACTTGTGGACCTTGCATCGGGTCGATAAGGCGCCGATCTTTGAGTTGATGTCATAGGTTTTGGGGGCTGTAGATTATGAAACTCGGAGGTTTAGTAGAGATGCGTTTTAGTTGTAAGAGGGGAAATAGGACCTTGAAACGAACCTGGTATGGGATAATCGATGTGCACCTTGCTACGTAGAAGCAAGTCACATATATGATATAACGGGAATTCAAAATGCCTAAGCCATATATACAAAAAGCGTCGATAATATGTACTAGAAATCGACGTCGAAATGAGACGAAAAGCCAAAGCAAAAAGGTCCAGACGACCTCCAGTATAGGACATCCCACTTGGGTGCCGATTCCTGTTCCTGTTGCTGTTTCAGCAGAGCCTCTGCCTACAATCATATAAACACCAGAACCCAGGACCAACAACCCAGGTGAGAATATACCCATCGCCCGCTAAGGCTGGGCTCGTCATAGTGGTACAAGGGAAACAAAATTCAAATGGGAATTTCCCGCCAACGCCGTAGAAACTCGAAGGTACCTGCCAAAAACCCCGTAACGCGAAAAAAAAAGACCGGAGATGAAACTCCGAAAGACTGTAAAGGAAACCGGATCAAAAGAAAAGGGTCATGATTCTTCGTTGCATTGACGTTGAAGACATGAGGATCCAGACAAAAAGACAAGCTAAAATGTGGATCGATGTAATAGAGGACAGGCTGAAGAGGCTGGAGGGATACACTGTGAATGCGCCGGAGCCAAACAGGATAAAAGAAAAGAAAGGCAAAAAAAACCTTCGTTAGGGGCCTCCTTCTAGTTTAGGAGCATTCAAAGGATTAAAAATCAGTAAGCCTCTCCTTGAATGGGTCTATAATAAATAACCGCCCTGTGATGCAAATGGAGAATAATAGTTTCGGACACATCAAACCTTACGGTGCGGGCCTGTGACCTCGACACCTGACAATTGTCGTGTTGAAACGATCAAAACCCTTCCTCGCCGGCCTTACACAGCTTGATCTGGCGCACCCATTCGGATTTGAGGACCTGTGAGGCATTGATGCGGCGAGAAGGATTGGGATCAAGGATGGAGTAGATCACGTTGCGACAACGAGCCTGAGAATTTATAAGTCTTTGCCCCGCGGCCGCAGGAGGGGGATTAGCTGTTCTTACTCGATGTAACGTCTCAATCGGAGCGTATCCATCCTCATGTTTACGACCGTCAAGGTACCGCTGGTAGAACTCGTCTTCATCCTTGCGTGCCACACGCCAAAGATGCCGCCCGGTGCGCATGGCCATGTAGATCACTCCAGTCGCCCAGAGATCAACCGCTCGGGGATCGAATTCTTTCTCAACGTATTCCTCCGGGGCAATATAGGGGGCGGAGCCGCAGAGTCCGGCGGTCATATGGGCTTCCTTCTCCCAGGCCATACGGAAGCATTCACCATTACCAAAATCGGTGATCTTGAGTGCTCCGTGAGTGGTCAAAAGCAAATTTTCGGGCTTGAGGTCGCGGTGTGCGACACCCATTTCATGCATATACTCGACACCGCGCATCAACTGCTTAAAAAAGCAGTCGGCTTCGGCGACTTCTAATTTGCCGGCAGCAAGGACCAAGGTGTACAGGTCGCCACCAGCGCAGTACTCCATGACTTCACAGTAATCTCCCTTGGCATCTTGCAAGAGGTCCAAAGTGTGAATGACGTTCGGGTGACGAAGGGAAGATGAGATGCAAAATTCCGAAGTCAGACGTTTTTGATACTTCTTGGTCGTTTCTTGCGGCCGGCGGCGGAACTCCTTGACAGCATACAGCTGTTCACATTTGGAATCTTGGGGGTCGACCTTGTGCGAGATGCGCACGATACCGAAAGCACCGCGGCCGACAATCTCCTGGCACTTGCCGTACTTGTCAACCAGAGTAGCGGTGGCGTTCGGGCCACCCTTCTTATCGGCAGCCAGCTTATCGCGCTCCGTCTTGAACTGATCAATCCAAGTCGACATCAGCGACAGCTGTTGCTCATCGGCCTGGTCATCCTTTTTCCGGCTACCACCCATCATATCTCGCAATAGATCGGTGAGCTTCTCTTGCCGTCTAGCACTTCTGAGGTTGTGTACATGGTTGCCGAGAGCTTCCGACACAACCTCAAATCGCTTGTTGACTAAAGCTCCATCTTTTGTCCTTTTCTCATCCATTTTCTTCTTGTCCTTTTCCACGGGCTCGCTCTTGAGCGAGGGATTTCGTGATGGTGTTCGGGAATTTTCTCCTCTTGAGGGAGGTCTAGAAGGCGGTCCGGAGGCGGGTTGAGAGGGTGGTTTCGAGGTCTTGCCGTTGATAGGCTGGATACTTTCCACGCTACTGTCGGATAGTTCACGCGGAACTTCGTTATTCTCTTTACTTGCTGTGTGTTTCGCTGTAGTTGAGAACATGCGAGTGAGGCGAGCGGCCATAGTAGCTTTAGTCGGCTTGCCGGCGGAAGATAATGCCGGAGCAGGGAGAGCGTCCCCGTTTGCGTGGGCAGCCAGATTCATGCCCGCCAGGGCGCGTGCTACCGAAGCATCTCCATCCGGAGGGTCATGCGAATGTTGTGAGGCTGCGGCGGAAGAGACTGCGGAAGGCACAGGTGAAGGGGAAGGTGGAGTCATGTGCGGTGGATCGACAAGTGAAGATTGGAATAATGGGGGGTGGACACAAAAATTCTCCGGCCCCAGGATGGAAGACGAGCTTCTACAGCGCGCACGAAGCTGCGGCAAATCGAAGTTGTCTTAATGGTAAGGATAAAGAGAAGTAAGAGGAGGCGAGGCGAGAGAAAAAAAAAGTAGGTGGCCTAATATGGATGGCCTGAGGCAACAAGGGCAAAAGGTGACGACACAAAGAGACACGGCAAATATTGGAAGTACCACACACCAGAATGATGCCCGCTGGCAACGAGGAGCCCCTAGGGTATATAGACAAGCAATAAAAGAGGAGAGAGAAAAGAAAAATTAAAAAGAAAGGGAAGCAAGTGGGAAATAAGTGGGATAAATTTGGCGATGCTAGAGAACTTGAAATACGACGGGGTTCTTTTTGGTATGGTAATATATTACATAGTTAAACCCATAAAAAATTGTAAAATTCAAATGAAATTGAAATATAAAAAGTGAAATAACTCGACAACTCCAAGAGAAGGGGGAAAATGTGGGCACTGCAACGGTATAGGTTACCCTCGAGGATTATTAATGCTCGCAAATACTTAGTTATGGTCTTGACCTATAGGGCTACATAGTGCATCCTGCATACGGTGACTCCGGCGCTGTGAGACCTAACCGGTAAAGTCGAGACATCTAGAGACATCTAGGCTATAACATATTTCGAGATATATTTTAGTTGCACACACATTCTTTAATAGTGGCGTACATTTTCATAGAGGAAAGGATTCCCGAGGTCCGTTCCGAGGCTTTAGTACTGATTTCTTTTGGTGAGAGATTTAATGGTAATGAAACCGCGAAGTAATCCAAAGTAATTAAAGTAATTAGTATAATAAAGTCGAGTAACGAAAGTACAGGTTTTTTTTTTCAAGACTGGAACTGGGTCTCTGCCGCGTTGAGAAGCTTGATACATGTATATTATTTTCTCTTTACTGGTATTAATGACGTTGGGTAAGGTGACGTCCTCCTGTATATGTGCACTCATTCGCTATTCAACGAACACTGCTATCGCTACTACAATTTACAACGTTGGAAATACAGAGGGGAAGTAGCTTTGATAGTTCCGCCACCACATCAAAGGACTGAGGCTGTGCAGTCTGCACAACGAAGCCCAGTCATGATTCGATCAGGCCCCGCACCAAGCCGACACGCTGGGTGCACTTGTGGCGGTTGTGGTTATCCTGTGGACTTCCGATGTATGTTGTATGAGGTATCCATTTAGATCCATTCATCCGATCTAATTGGGGGGGCAACTGTTGATCTATTAGCCGGAGCATACAATGGGAATATTTTAGACGTGCTTTCTTACTCTATATGGTAGGTGGGGGATTATCATTTGAAAAGTGTACTTAGGGCATATGTTGTGGAAGACTATCCTCTTACTTGACGATGTACTACAATATAAATTCACACTGTATGTAAACCAAATCCAGGTAACCCCAGTTCTCAAAGGACACTGTCCTCGTTGGCTGTAAATCCTAAATCCCCTGTCAACCAATTGTCAGATCCCTCCGTTTATACCCGTGCTCACTCGCTTCTTTCATTGTCCAGCTGGTCAACTCGATCATTCCGAAAGCAAAACACCCCATTTCTGGACCCTGCTTCCTGCCAGTAATTGCTACGCGATCGCTGCTACGTAATAATAATAGTCGGTCAATCATGCACTCCTCTTCATCGGGGCGAGGAAACCGCGTGGGTCTCTGTGCGATGGAGACCCCCCGCAGCGATGTACAATGTACATAATGCTCTAGTACGTTATAGGGGAATACAATAGAGGCTAAAGTAGCTTTCCGCTGTCTAGCGTCATTCGGACAGATGATGGCATTTGGGATGGGCCTCGGGGTGGTACAGGTTGACCAATGTCCATGTTCGACTGTTTCAATTTGAAACGAATAGAATACAATATATCGCCTTTCTTAGCCCTATCACTTCTGCACGGGAATATGTCCAGCCTTATTACTTTGGAATGTGGAATGCGGAATGTTCACCGTCTCTTCGGATCACTGGTGTGTCCGTGTGGGGGCAATTCTTGACAGTGTCTTGGATTTCCATACTAGCATGAGCTTCGCACTGAACTCGGGCTTTGTTTCGGAGCTAGTACGGGGTGGTAACTAGCGGTATACTCAATAATGTTATTCAATGGCTCATTTTACCCCGGATTACTGGCGATTTCCGAATAAGCCCCTTAGTGCTGACCTCGGCACGGGACACAGGAAGAAGAATCGAGTCAGACGTTCTGCTGCAGAGGAGCAATAAAGTGAAAATGACCGTTTCAATCTCATACGTAACGAAAAAAACAGCATTTCCACTTTCTCACACAAGCTTCCGTATCCAGCACTAACCACTACGAGGCATTTTCACCCAATCACAGCCCTAAAAACCCATCTCAATTTCCCACAGCACAAAGTTACTAGTTATGCACCATTGTAGACGTACAACGGACAATATACAGTACTAAGCCTTCTATATCAATGTTATATGCAGCTACAGATGTACTTCTATAAACAAGCCTTTTACCACTACGCCCTCTTTCCATTTCAATACCACAAATCCAAAGTGGATGACTATTTATTCCATGATGCTCTTGCTTTGATCTCTTTTAGGGTTTTCCCCTCACCTCACAGAGTATTCCCTTGGTTAGATGTTGGTCCCAATATCGAGAACAAAGGGCAAGCCGAGCAAGATGAATTCAACAAATCATAAGATTCAAGTCCACCACGGGTTGGACATATTTCTATCATTCATAGAAATCGTTCTTTCATATTGAAAATTACTCCCAAGTACGGTACTTTGCCCGATAGCCATGTCTCTGAAGTCCATTCACTTTTGATAACCAGCTAACAGAATTGAATTCAGACGAAGTTCAACTCAGCCTTATTATTACCTAGCCTTGGACAGCTATCCTGATGTATGAGGTCACATACAATCCCGGTGTCGCCGAGATATCCGAGCAGCTTACCAGGGACAGAGAGCTTACCCTGAATTATTCGAAGGCAAAAATGGGCAATACAATGGGCCTCTCTTCACGGGATAGGCTAGAGCAGCGTCTTACCGCACTGGAAGGACATTTTCTCTATTTCCGTCGGCCAATCCTTGATGAGTGGTCAGGTAATCCGAGAAGTCCGAGTGAAGTCCAGGAGAGAAATACCGTAGCACACGGTAATATCACTATGGACGTCCGAGCTATCGCGGATATGATTCAAGAAGACCCATTCAGAGCCCAGAAATGGGAAGCATCGTTTGCACATTTCTACGATATTACATACATTGAGGCTAAAGACAACGCCTCTCTACACCAAAAGTCCCCGCCTTCGGCGATTGTTCAATCTAAATGCGGATGTTCAATCTTTACGCCGGTTTACTCAACCTCGAAATAGCAACTACCAGAGTGTACTTGCTAGTATCTGCAAGCATTGGATTTCAAAATGGAAAGCGGACAACTCCATTGAGCCTCCGGACGCTATCATGGAATACCTGAATGACATCGACGCAAAAACCTTTGAGATGGCTGGCTATCAATAGATTGACGGGAGGGCTTATCATTACCGGGTCGTATGGCGTCGCCGGAGACTGCAACGCTGCTACTTGCAAAAGGTGTCAGATGATATGCCATTATGAACCTGACACAATAGATACAAACTTCATTGCTAGGATTTAGCGCTCAAATTCATATGAAGTGCTAGTCATCCGCTTGCTGTCCTCTACCGCATCCTCCTGTTTTCGCGTCCGGTTACATTACTATAGCGCCCAACACTAAATCGCTCACCAGAAACGAACCCGTAGTCGAGACGCCCAAGAGGATCAAAAGGGTGCGTATCATTAGGGTTATATGCGATGAAAGCGAAATCCAAAGGCCTCTGCCGTGACCCCTGGTCTACACCGATGCAAGCCATAATCCGCTATACAATCTCTGGGTTCCTATTACACACATTATGATAGCGGCAGAGGCCTCCTACAGCACACAAAGTCTCTCTGTGCCAAGGGTATCCAGGGTCCGCTGATTCAGTTCAAACCGCTATTCTGCATGCGTATACGAACCTTTGAACGCGGTCGATCCTAAACAAAAGAGAACCAACTTACGTCGCGGCATACGTGGATGGCAGATACTTGGCAAAGCGAAGATCCCGAGGATCACATCTATCCGATAAAACCCCTGTTCATTCGGGGGGTCCGCGTCCACGGGTCGGTTCACATGTTGAGCTAAATGCGAAGAAAAACAACCACAAAGCCACCCAACACCGGCCGCAACGCAAATTCCGATTCAAGCCGGTGCATGCTTGACCGCCAGTCTGTGGTTGCAGGAAAGACACACACCCAGCCTCGAACCTATAGGATCGGTCGGCTTTGCACCGCGACACCTCACCTATCTCGCGTTGCTGAATGGTCAAAGCTCGAGATAAGCTGTTGGCATTATACTGTTTTCATCCTGCGTGTGTGCATGCATGTGGCCTATGGGTATGCACTAGTAACTGCATACTTACAATTCTTATGTATGCGCTAGGCTACGCTACGGAGCAGCAGAGCTCGGGTGAAAGGGGCGGAGCTTGTCTTTGTGTTTGCAGCTCTTATCCCGCTGTGGATGTACGTTGTGCTAAACCTGTCTGTGTGGACGTCTGTGCTTTGGCCAAGTCATGCAGGATGCAGGATGTGGACGATCTGGCCTGGAGCTGGGAGCTGTCTGTGGGTATCTGGGTTTTCTTTTCCGTTGCGATATGCAATGAGCTTTGCTTTTTCTTTGCGCGGTGGGTGGAAAAAGCAATTGCGAGATCCAATTATTGTCGTATGATCTATCTTCGAACTTGATTCTCGAGGCTGCACCTATCGGCTGGTCAGCTCCTCCATGCCGAAGCAGACGCACGAGCCACGTTGGGCCGGTTGGGAAAGCTGACTCTTGGCGGTGCTGCTTGGCTATAGCTGTTCGGATTAAGAGTAGCTTAGCGCTCTAGACCCGGATCTAATTCGGACTTTTTTCATGGCGTCGTTGTGGCTGCGGGATTTCTTTGATTTATACGATCTATACCCCGGGTTTATTATAAACAGGCATTTTAATGACCGGAAACTTGTAGTGAGACAATTCACATGGATATTGCGTTATATCAGCAGTAATCGATTCTTCCGACTGTCCCCGAACATCAGTAACAAATAGCTCTGTTCAGCGTTCCTAGTTCATAGCACTTGATATGCGAAGCCGAGCTATCTGCGGGCCGCCCCCGGGCCAACTCCGCACCGTCATTTCCCCAGCGTACAGCGTACAGCGTACTAGCGGCGCTGGAGATGCCACGTGGGAAGGAAACCGGTCTCATTGAATGGCAGTCACACATGAAAAAGCGGTATGAATAACCCTGTCGTGCTTGGCTTCGGTGCTGTGTTCCGGTAATCTCATTTCTCGTCAATGTGCTGTTGCATGCAGGTGCCCGTAGCACAGTATCCTTGACAACGGGCGAGTCCGCTGCGGTGTGTGCCAGCTATGCCGCTCTCACGCCTTCGAGATACCGGATTCGTATATGCTAGCCTCGAAAGTCCCAGCGGTGAGATCCTGTCGCTTTCTCTTCCTTCACTTAGACTTTCTCGCGCGAACTGGCCCCCAGATTCCATGAGGCATGCGCAGTTCGATATCATGACAGAACTCGAGTCTGCTACCAGATCAGAACACACAAGTCAACAACAAAGGCAGCATGCCAGAACTAAAATGTACGTACCACAAACTGCTCCAATGATTCCTCGAATAACTCGTTGTTCACGCCCACACCGCCGGGATGCTCGGTCGGAGAAAGAGGATTCTTAACCACTAAACAGACCGAAATATGTCAGCACTATCCAAACCTGCCAAACGAGATCCATAAATCACACGAACCGTATTCCACAAACAGATTGATATAGATCTGTTGCAGCGCGATGCGCATGCTAGGACTCTTGAGGTCCGTCAGCATGACAAACTTGGTATTCGTCGGTGTCTCGTAGTAGTGAAGCTTGTATTGGCTGGTGGTAAATGACACAAAGCTAGTTGCGGTTAGCATCGGGTTCGTCCGTCCGTCTAAAAGCCAGCACCCGGCTGGCTTGCTTCAGGGGCAGTCTTACTTGTCTTCTTCACCCCCTAGCTTGCGCACCATATTCCGCAACGAGAATACCGTGCCGAAAACCAGCTTCGAATCATCGTCTGTCGAGCGCACTGTCTGGCCGAGACCGGTCGGTGGTGCGTCGGTGACTGTGTTAGACCGGGACTTCCCCACGATGGAGGTCGGGCGTGGAAGCCAGCGACGCTTGTAGATGCATTCCGCTGGATCGCAGTTAGTATATAAAGATGAATCCATTATATAAAGCGTGTTTACCATGCCGATCAAAGATGTAGAACGAGTAGACGACCATTGTGTATAGCGTGACCTGAAACAAGTTGTTGTTGATGTTCGAGGGAGTTCCAACGCTGACAGGCGGTGAAATCCCCTATCGATAACAAAAGCCCATATCAAAAAGGAGCAGCCTAGGATTTCTTCGGCGTTTGCGATTCGACCGGGATTTTCTCTAATTTTCTCTAATTTGACTTCCGTACATAGGGCTTAGTATCATTTATTCTATTCGCTTCTGTCTAATCCCCACAAAGAGGGCCTCGTAAGGCTGACCATCCGCTTCCACGTCGAAACCCCCGCTCGAACTTCCTCATTACCCCACACGTCTCCTACCAGTGCTTGACGATAAGTGTATTTCAATGGATGAAAATCAGGCAATGGCAACCCCTATGTCGGATGTCTCCGCAGAGCCCTCTACCAACTCACTGGAGGGGGTGAACGATGCGCGCCCCCAAGCGAGCAGAGTTGGGTGAGTTTCGCTATGAAACAACAGCGGAAGATTGATTTTCACTGACGCCCTTCTGCAACTAGGTCTTCTGCATCCTATGATAGTACTGGGAGGCACCGACGACGAAACCCAAGAGCAAGGCGTCCGGTGAAGGTCAGTCTCTCAATGCCGTTATGACAGCTTCGGACAACTGATACCGCGGACTAGGAAACACTGGACGCCCGCTCCGAGTATTACACGAGCCAAGACGACGGTACTGCGGAACATCGCATCAACCAATATGTGATCAAACAGGAGATCGGACGTGGATCGTTTGGGGCTGTCCATCTGGCTGCAGATCAGTTTGGCAATGAATATGTATGAGCACGAACCTGCGGGATATGATGGGAAGTGGACATGCTAACTGTGAGATGAACTATCTGTGAATTTAGGCAGTCAAAGAATTCTCCAAGTCTAGACTAAGGAAACGTGCGCAGTCGCATCTGTTGCGAAGACCGCGAGGTCCGATTCGGCCAGGAACGGAGTTCAACTCACCATTACATCGACATCCTTCCGGTGACGATAAAGAGCTCGAAGAGAATCCTTTATATCTGATCAAGGAGGAAATCGCAATCATGAAGAAACTGCACCACAACAATCTGGTGTCATTAATCGAAGTCTTGGACGATCCGACAGAGGACTCGTTGTATATGGTGATGGAAATGTGCAAGAAGGGTGTCGTCATGAAGGTCGGGCTGGAAGAGAGAGCAGACCCATACGATGACGAGCAATGTCGATGTTGGTTCCGTGATCTGATCTTGGGAATCGAGTATCTGCATTCGCAGGGCATTGTCCATCGAGATATAAAACCGGACAACTGTCTGGTTACCAACGACGATATGCTGAAAGTGGTCGACTTTGGTGTATCGGAGATGTTTGAAAAAGATTCAAACATGTTCACTGGCAAGTCAGCTGGGTCACCAGCATTCCTCCCACCAGAGCTGTGCGTGGTCAAACATGGCGATGTATCCGGACGGGCGACGGATATCTGGTCTATGGGAGTAACGCTATATTGTCTGCGATATGGAAAGCTGCCATTTGAGAAGCAGAGCATCTTCGAGCTATATGATAGTATCAGGGGAGATCCCGTGGACTATGAAGAAGAATCAGATGAAGTATTCAAAGATCTGATGCAACGGGTTCTCGAGAAAGATCCAGAGAAACGGATCGACATGTTTGGTTTACGAGTGAGTCAATCGCAATTACACTGCTTGCCCATGCTGACCAGATTCAACAGGAACATCCCTGGGTAACGAAGGATGGGACGGATCCTTTGCTGTCATTTGAAGAGAACACATCGCAACCCGTCGAGCCGCCGACAGAGGAGGAAATGAACTCGGCTATTACAACAAACATGGGAAATCTTATGACCGTGGTAAGTTACATTCCTCGTTCGATAGTATATCCATTAACAAGGCCCAGGTGAAAGCGGTCAAAAGATTCAAGCGACTAACAGATCCCGGCAAACCACAATCCCCCATTGAAAGTACGTTCGGTAAGAGCATTCTAGGCGGCGATCACGATGCCTATTTTGTCGAGCCACCAA